AGAATATTATTTAATGATACAATGAATATGAATAACTTTCCACTACATATTATGACTTAAAACAAAAGTGCTCAGTTTTTAAAAGAAAATATTTAAAGCCTAGAAATTAATTTATCAAAAAATGCCTGAAACATATGCAATGACATCGTGAGCATTGCAGGACAAATAAGTGAAGAGAGGTGTGTCCCGTTCCTAAACAAGAAGGTGACATGGGGGTGGTACTCAAGGTAAGCTGGACATAAACGCAAGGCCGATCAAACTCCCAAGCAGAGTTTTGGGTGAAAGGCAAGCGGCTTAGATAATCAACTTGAAATTTCCTCCAAAAGATGAAAAGGACACAGTAAGCCAAAAGCTTTTGAAAACACAGAGTGAGTGTATCCATATTGCAACACATGTTAGACTGAGGAATCAAAGCAGTCTGATAATAATGACAGAACGGATCAATAAAATGATGAGTCCTAAAACAGACACATGTACATGTGGAAATTTATCATATCATGCTATGACACATGTACATGTGAAAATTTATCATATCATGCTATGACACAGGTACATATGGAAATTTATCATGTCATGCTATGACACATGTACATATGGAAATTTATCATGTCATGCTATGTTGTATTCAAATGAGTTACAAAGGGATGCATTGTTGAATAGATGATGTTGAAGTAACCGAACACTAACTTACTGAAATAACTGACTGGGCCCTTACCTCCCATCAGACATTCAAATAAAGTCCGACTGGATTAAAGACTTGAGCCAAAACAAAACCGCGAAAGCACTGAAAGAAAACATTAAGAGCCATGTGTGTAATACTGAAGGGATTTCTTAAAAGATGGCAGGGAACTCTGAGACCAGCCATAGAAGACTAAACAGGGACATAAACACACATGTTTAAAACCTGTTTAAAACAAGTCTTCTAAAACATCAAAAAGCAAAGAATAAACTGATAATAATATTTAAAAATTCCACAACAAACTTAAGATGAATGTAATTAACATATAAAGAGATCTTGTAAATGAAATGACATCATGACTCCAATGCATTCTCTTTTTTTGGGTACCGGGAATCAAACTCAGGATCTTGAACTTGCCAGCAGGCACTTGTGCCACTGAGCTATATCCCAGGCCCACTCCAAAGCACTCTTTATTTTTTCTTTGTGCCGGAAATCAAATTCAGGACCTCATGCTTGCCAGGCGGGCATGATTCCACCTAGCTATATTCCCAGCAACTCCAATGCATCCTTCATTAACAAGTTAAAATATAAATGTTCTTTTATTTTATAATTCCATTTATAGAAACATACCTAACAATAAAATTTCCTTAGATCATCAGAAGTTTTCATTTCATGAGTCTCTGTAGTAGGAAGAAAGAAAGAGAGAAAGAAAGAGGAAAAGAAGGAA